GTCGTAGGAAACTTGTATTTTATGCAGCAAAAGTTTATAAAAATGAAAAATTCGCATTTTATACGGCAGCCAGTTTTTGCATAATACAGCTGTTAATCATATTCGTGGCGCACACTTGAAAACTACATGGGCAGTATTTAAGAAAATACACGCTGAATTTTAGAAATTAGCGGGAAATTATTGTAACTTCTGTAGCATATTGTGGATATTCGCAAAACTTTGCGAAGAATAAATGTAGAAAATATATTAAAATATATGTAATGTATATGTTAAAATGATATAAAATATATTAAAATACAAATTATTGCAATTTTTTATGTGATATATAAAATATATTAAAATACATACCTTTTTTGCTTTTTTGCACTGCTTTTTATTATAAAACATATAATTTTCCAAAAATTTTGTACTTGGACTTCTCTCGAGTTACTTTCCGATGAGCTGATGTATATAAACCGGACAGGTGGTGTGCACCAAATGGAGATATATAGTTCAGATTTATAGGGCCTAGCGTAGCAGCATTTGGCGTTTCGGACATATCCTAGCAACATCACTAACATTGGACCCCACTGCTACTGTTTGGATGGCTCTTGTATCTTGGCATTTAATTTTTTCTAATATTTTATTCCACCATCTTAATTTTTTATTTTTCCAATGTTACGAGTTTTTTCATATCTAACTTTTCCAGTATCTTTAATATATTCTCTGATGCAGAATCATAGGCGTGTGTAAATTATATTTAATGATTTCCGCACTTAAAATGTTTGCATTTTTGAGATGCTAAATAATCCTACGTATTGTGATGTGCGGGATTTTCAGGTGTGGGATCAAATTTATCGCAGTCATCGTTGCCGACTGTTAGTCCACCAGTAAGTCCAAATGTCGCAATGACTACTACAGCAATTTCCAATAAGCTTGAGGTCATTCCGAGGTGAGTTTCGGTTTTTATCGGTAATCTGAATCTCATGATTTAATTGATGTTAAGGCAAAACGCCTTAAACAAAAAAGTCTAATAAGATATCGATATTGTATCATATCTGTTCAGGAAAAAACTGGAGATTCGTATATTTTCAGGAATACAGAAGGCAAAATATCCATTCCGGATCGTTTATCGGCGACAGCCTTATTGGCCGATGGCCTCACACGCTCACATTCCCACGAATCGAATTTGCAGCACACTGTTAACAGCAAAGGAACTGTCCGATTGACAAGGTATGTGAGAGCAATGAGCAAAGATGAAAGTTGCTTTCAAAGTATTAAAAGTATATTCCATTTATTTTTTTTTGTGGGAAGTGAAAGCAGTGGGAAATGTGACCTGAGTGAGGAGAGTATGTAGCATTTACCTACAGGCAAAGCCTTTTCCGGGCATTGTCTAAAAAGCAAGCTGATGGAAGATTTTTTAACTGTTCTGTTTCATCATTTTGTGAAGGAACGAATCTTATTGGGACTAGTTTTCCTAATATTTGGGCAACTGGTGGGGGGGAGGGAGGGGAAGGGGCCGGGGAGGGGGAGCAGAGGATGGGAAGAAAACACTGCTGAGGGTGATTTCTGCGGTCAGCCCGTACAAATCAAAGTCTGAGCCTACTGCATCTGTTTGTTGCTTTTCAGTTCCCGCTCGATCAATGACTGCTTATCAGTGGCTAATCGGGGAGCCGCACTCTGCCCACCATCGCCACATCTAATTTATTCTGGTCGAGCAGCAAGTAAGCAGTTTTGATAAATTTTCCAGCTTTGATGATCGCGCAGTATCGTATTCCTCAATAGCGAGGAATTTTTCAATATCCCATACAAGCTGTTTAACATGTGTATTTAGTTTGAGCCCGGCCGATGACATTGTCCTGGGTAGAAAGGCTTTCGAAGTTTCTGGATATAATTTTATGGTGCTACAAATCCAAATTTATGTCCATTTGTCAAATGTTTAACTCAGACTAGAATGTAACATCCTGCTACGATATGCCAGAAGTATGTGGCTTTCGATAATCTTTGTGCTTACGGGATAAAGTTCCTATCGTCTACAGATTTTGGGAACGGTACCTGAACTGTTAAGAAGAAACAGTTCGAAGCTGTATCTTTTTTAGAGATAAATCTCTTGTTGAGCCGTTTGAATGACTTGAGATGGTTGGCCAGAGAAAACATTTTCTAGCAAAACCTAGCTAGTTGGCAGGGAGGGTGCGGAAAGGTGCCATAAAGCATGTGCGTTTTTTTTTTTTTCAATCCTAACCATTCTTATTCTTCGTGGCACAACAGAATAATGTGATAGGAAGAAATTGTACACAAAAAAATAACAGCCAACTGAAACTGACTTAAAATTATGAAAGCAGTTGTGAAATGAGGGATTTTCCTCCAGAAAGTGCAGCATGTAAACGTAAAAATATGGTATGAGAAATTGTTCAACGTGCTTTCGCAACTGATCATTGCAGATACACTACCACGATCGCCAAAAACAGGTCGAGCTAAACATTCCATTCCTCATCAGTGGCATCGGAGAAAA